TATGTTATAAAAGCCCATTCTCAAATAAAACTTTTGTTTGTTTGTCCATTACATTTAATCGTTGCATAAATGAAATTAATTCTTCGTCAGGTGGTGTTGTACAGAGAGAATCATCAAAGTCTTGTAAAAACCGTATAGTGTTGCGACTTGTGCTTCTTGAAACTGCGATGTATGCATTGTAATGAGATAAATTCCAGTGTGGCGGTTTAGCCAAATCTACTAAAACCGGGGAAAGAGTTTGAGCTTGTGACTTAATCTGTGAATGCATATGCTCGTTGTCTGCAGTTTACCGTTTGTTTTCACCCGTATTCATCAATTATCTCAATTCCAATTTCCAGTGTTGACACTGGAATAATGCGTTATAGGCAAGTTACGACCTCAAAAAGCTTAATGTATTGGCTGAAGCAGCCGTTAGATCGCACGAACTGGTATTAATGGGCTCCGACTCTGTGGATAGGCTATGCTCACATTAAGGCTAAGTAAGTACCCGTTCTAGCTTCTCGGTACTTTTTATGTACCTCCCCGTGTGACGTCACAGCTTCCCTACATTCGATGTTACTCGTTCACTTACGCTCGCCACTCCCACCCATTCGCTCCGTTTTCTCCAAATCATTCTCTGTTCTGTCCATACGCCGTCCATCCTAAAAATGGGTCCCAAACTGACTGATGGAGAATAAAAAGCTGTGGTTTGGTAACGACACGAGTTACATCGGAGTGTAGGATTTAGGGAAGGTGAAGGTGAAGAAGGATTATAACGAAGGGAATAAAGAGCAGTAGCAATGAATGTAGATTATTTTGTATCTTTATCTTCAAATCAATTATAACACATTGAGACGTTGCTTCATGGAGGTTTTAGATGAATATGCAGTTGAAATCCTTGCGATATATCACACCATGTGAGAAATAACCCAATAATGATGGGAAGACACTTCTTAGACGGGGAAGTGGAGAGGCAATTTGGGCAAGCAAGTATTTAACCTATAGGTATAATCGTTAGGAGCATATTCATTTTTAACAGGTTCCAAAGGGTTCCACGTTATGCATAAACTGTACTAATGACGAACAAACTAATGAGTGTTAAACCTACGTTGAGCATGAGTTTCAAGGTCTATTAGAGGGTCCAAGACAGAAAAAGAAAGGAAAAATGTGAATAAGCACCCGTTTGTATAGCCGGGTGGTTGAAGATAGTGAATGGCTGCAAGAGCCAGTCATCTGATATTTATTATTTGTATTTTTAACTTCAAAGCATACTTATATCGCACTATGTTCTCTTGTTTATCTTGTTTCTTTACTTATTTCTTTTTTTAAAAGGAATCACCATAAATATCGCACAAGTACATATGGACCTACGCCCATACATACAAATAGACGTGAGAGACGCCCATGTTTGAAAGGGAGTGGAAAGAGCCCTGCTAACGCAAGGGGATATCGTTTTACTCTTACCGTCACCGTCATGTAATACTAAACGTTCTCGAGATATATACGCTGGTCTTGTCAACTACTGGATCGACACTCAGCGAGGCTGCATTAGGCAGCAGCCTTTCAGCCGCCCTTGCCAGGTGTGCCCATGCTTAGAGACATTTCCAGAAATTTTCGCCAGCTATCCATTCAATGAATAATGCCAACTTGGGTCTTCTGCTTGAGTGTATTATTTCTTCAATATAACAGTAAATACGTTATGCTCCGCAAAAGAATGAATGAATCTTGATTTGCGTTTTTCTATTCAGGTTCTCACATCTGAGAAAGAAAGCTTTGGAGTGCTCTTGACCTCCGACTTGGCTGTAAATGTTTCTAGAGATCCGTGGTTAGAGAAGAATATATTCCAACTCCTTCTGTCGGCTATATTTCGCGTATTCCTAGGGAACTTTCTCGTTTTAACGTATCAGGAAGGACTTATATGTATATGATGTTGGTACATACGTTTTCGCGTCCTGCCAAGGCGATTTATCTTCTTTTATTTATCTACTCGAAGCCTCACGATGTTGATGATTTATTTTCAAGGGATTTGCCTTGGCCGCCGACTCGGAGATTTTGTGCAAAAAGCCACAGCGCCACCTGTGGCTCCACCGTGGCTAATCCAGCCCTCCTATTGGTCAGTTTGAGCCACAGGTGGCGCACAAATTCTCTATTTCCTGTCGTCGTTCGGGTATCCGCGGTTAGGAAGAGGTTATATTTCCATCCGATTGGTAAATAGGTTTTCGCTGTTCTGCCAACGTCTGGATCTTACTTACCTCTTATTTGTTCAGTTCCAGATTCGCAGGGAAGCCCAACAATCTAATATTTCTTGTTCGGTGCTACGGTGAGATGCTTTCCAACGCGATGGGAATGTCCTTAATAATGCTGGTTTTGCTTTTCTCATTAGGTGTGCCAGGATTTGACGGATCTCTTTGTTGAAACTGACGAGGCTTTCGAAATTGCAGTCGTTTAATTAAATCGGACCTGTCATAATTTGCTAGGGTCGATGCTGATTACGATGTTTATCTTGAATATCCACGCGAGCAGTTCCTATCAATTTTTTTTGGAAAGCCCGTGCTTAGAGGTATTTCCAGAAGTATTTTGCCAATTATTCACAAAATTGTCTGTATTTTAATTAGCCTTCTTATCCAGGTCCTTCGCTGTCAACGTTTATGACTTTCAAGGACTTTTCTATGGTCACCGAGTCGGAGGTTTGTTTCTCTGGATGTTTTTGGCCGGTGATCCACGTATATTTTCTTCATTATTCCTCCGGAAGCCTTCTTGTATCCGATATCAGGAAGGGATTGTATCTCCATACCACTGGTACTCACACTTCATCTGCTTCCCCGAACGTCTGGCGCTGAATTTGCTCTTTATCCAGCTTCCCCTTTCGGGCTGAAACAATTTTTTGCTGTCCTTATTTCTCACAAAGATTGCAATGTCTCTCCGACTCTGACGATGTAGCGTTTATCTTTTGTTTGGTGCTGCAATCATAAAACCATTATTCTTCTTTGTCTGGTGCCATGATGCGTTAAGCTTTCCAGCCCGATAAGAAATTTACTTATTAATACTTGCTTGGCTTTCTCTCTAGATTTTTAGTGATGTCGAAGTTTTCTCGGATCATTTTGGGCAGATTCAGAGACGCTTTGGCAAATTGAATAGTCTTGGAAGGTCATACAGTTAAATGCGGCATATTGACGTACTTATGACATGCTTACGACGGGGGAGTCTCACAATGAAATATCCTGAATATCATGAAGAGATCCTCCTAATTTCCTTAGGACAACTCGTACGTAGAGAAGATGTTTCAAGACGTTCTCCGCTAGTTATGCATTTATTTCCTGTATTGTCACCTTAACCTTCTGGTATCCCGCAATCCGGAAAGAATTTTATTTTCATCGTAAACACGTTCTCTCTGATGCTCCGAATGTTTGAATCTTAATTCGCCTTCTTTTTATCTATGCCTTTATATCGGCTCGCGATATTCGACAAAGGGGGGGAAAGATATACCGCCCTTGGCCTCCGACTCGGCGAGTGCAGCGTCTATCTCTTGAGCAGAGACCCTACCAGTGCAGTCGCTAACGTTGATATTCCCTGTTCGATGATATGGTGATTTTTGCTCTTTTTTGTCTGGTCTACATGTTATATTGATCATGGCGTGGTTGTTATGGAAGGAGTTACCTCGATTAATGGTTATCCAAAACTTTTTTGCAGTTTCGATATGTTTCAAAGACCATCTTTCCGAGTCGGTTCACTTCTGCGAACATTTGATGCAATGGCGTATATTTGGACTTTACTATGCCTCCAAACGTGAAATACGCCTATCCACCT